AGAGATGGGATGAATCCTTTGAAGTGATCCAACCTTAGTTTGGGAGGCTGAGCCAAAGCCAACTGTGGCAATTACTGACCCACCTTGGTGACAATCTTTACCTCTCAGGAATATTTTTCAGGAATGTGGTAAAAAAAAAATAAAAATAACTTTTTTTGTGTTCAGCTCTGGAGCATCATCACAGGTTTGGAGAGGATGAGAGGCTCTTTTCTTCAGAAACTTGGTGTGTTTGATTTTAAAAGCATCCCTGGTTTTAATTTGCAAGCATTTCCCTGGGCTGGGATCCTTCTAGGAAAAGGTCAGTTGAGAATCTGAGAAATGATAATGCCTTCCTGAAGCATTTTAATACATTTTCACCATGATAGTGGCCCTCCAAGGATGTGAATTGATAGGAAGGGGAAAAGAAAACAAAATTGAAGCACAAAATAAAAAAAAAAAAAAAAGAATCCTTTCACAACCATTCAGGCCACCTTCACGTAAAAAAGCTCAACTTTTATTAGGTTTTCATTAACAGCTAAACTTTAAATTTGTGCCCTCAAGTTTTTTTTGGTTTTTTGTTTTTTTTCCCAGAAGGAATTATTGAAACAAAAATCAATGATTTGATTTTGGTTTCAACAGAAAAGAATTATTTGGTTTATTCTATGTACTACTCTATACATTCTTCTTTTAAATATTATTTATAATTAATAAATAATGACAAGAGCTCTTATCTATTATTTTAAACCAGTAGCCCTTTCAGCAAAAAGTGGCTTTTACTTCACAGAAATGTCTTGTGATATTTCAGGAAAACCTAAGGATATGTAACATTTTCTAATACCACAGAGTGAAATAATCCAAACCCTCAACATTTTCTGGAGATATCCCAAGAACCTCAAAACCTTCTGGAGGTCTCCAGGTTCCTGGAGTTGTAGGAAACCAATCCTGAGCTTTGCTAAGAAAAATTAACTATTAAAAGAATTAACTGTAACAATTTTGTTATTTTGGTATGAATTTTAAAGAGAGAGGCACTGCAGAATTAAAAAGTTTTGCATTGCTTAAACATTTAACTTTGAAATTACAACGAAATCCCTGAGCTTGATTAACTTGGCTACAATAAAAGAAGTGTTGAGAACATTTCCTTTTGTTCAGGGTGCCTGCTGCTCCAATTTTTTCAAAATGAAAAGCCTTTGTAGTTGGTTTTATTTACAATATCTGTGTAAGGAAAAATTCAAAACTCCAGCCCATAATTCAGTTTCAGAAAGAGCAGCTGGAAGAGAAATGGGGATCAGGGAAAACAAACTTCTTGCTCTGTGCAAAAACTTGGCAGAAGTGGTACAAAAATTTCTGCTCAGGCAGAGAACAACTTATCAAATCTATTACAATTCAAATGTGCTTTGAAAATTTGGCTCTAAAATGCTTCTAAAAGTTGTGATATTAAAGAGCAACATTAGGAAAATGTCTTTTTTTTTTTTTTTCCCAACCCAAATCCTTTAAATAATTTCTTTGGGAAAAAATATTCAAATGAAGTAGGTCTCCTTTTATTAAATTTAAGAAGGTAGAACTCTTATAGGTTTATACCTTGTGTTAGAGAGAGTACCTTGGGATTTCATAAAAACTCCAAGCCTTTCATATGGAAAGAAGACAGAGTGAGACAGAAAATTGATTGTTCTCAGAAAAACATCAGGCCTTGCAGAAAAGGCAAGCGGGCTCCTTGCTTTTCATGACAATTGAGGGAAAAAGAAGCAGAGGAGAAAACTGCTGGAAGCCATCCCTGCTCCCTGTGTGCCTCAGGACAAACCCCAAACCCCAAAGGGTGGGAATGGCAGAGCTGGGAGGCAGGCAGGGAGCACTGGGGTCACCAGTGCCCCACAAACACCCCCAGCCTGGGAGCTGGGCATGCCACAGGGCACTGAGTGACTGCACAGCACCGAATTCCTTCCCTTCCCACACTGGAATTTTCCATTTTTTAAAAGGATGGTCGGGGGCAAACCCCACTCGTGCTCTCACATCTGCAGAGCCACGTTTCTGTTAATGCTGGATTTAATGCCAACACAAGGAAAACAGGGAGCTGCTGGAGAGTCCAGAGGAGCTGCTCCAGTCCCTCTGGAGCCAGGCTGGGAGAGCTGGGAATGTTCCCCTGGAGAAGGGAA